TCATTACCCCAAATGTTCAGATTTTGGTGGAAAAAAATACTACTTTGCGTCGAGCTAAAGGCTCTTTGCAAAACTTTTACAAATAAAATCTGGTCTCTAAGGTTATCTCACTGTTTTGTTTTTTTCATATCTCCCTGCGTCAACAACCATAAAAATAACAAACATCACCGTTTAATGCCTCCCCGGGGGTAGATTCTTTCGCTACAGTCTAAGTCTAAAATTAAGTATAAGTATAAAAGTAAAGTTAAAGCAAGAATAAAATGTTCAATAAAAGCAACAGGAATTTACCTATTAGCATAAAGCTCAGAAACTTTAATGCGCTGAATGAATAAATTAACATAGGTATTTAAAGTTTTGTTTTAACTACCTTTTAAGTTGGTAGAATAGGATGACAAATTGAAAAAGAAAAAGTCTATTGCTTATAATCTTGTTTTTTTAGAAAAATATTCCACTGTTTTAGTAAAAAAAACAAAGAAAATAAATATAACTTAAATTAAAAACCTCTTTCAATCAAGAGTAAAATGGTAAAACTTACAAAATACATGAAAAAATAATTTAAAAATTTTGAGTACAAAAATTAAAAGTCCTATTTCAAGTGACGGATCCCTTATAAAAGAATAGGAGAATGTTCCAGAAGCAATCTTCCAGCTTTTACTGTTAACTGTCAACGTAATGAACATCTTTACAAAATAAAACTAAGCAACCATAGACTTAAAATAAAATATAGACTAAGCATCTCATTCATAAATAGCTGGAACATGCGGTCAGACAATGTCTTGTTATTGTTGTGTTATTGTTTTAGGTTATAACGAGTGCGACACGAGCGATAGATAGGTTGTCTCTGTCGTAACGGTCGTTCCCTGACGACTCTGCCGAGAAACACAACACTGTCTTTCGTTTCTCAAGTACACCTGAACTCTCCGTATCATAGCCGGGTAATTTTTTTATTTTAATGAAGCTATAAGTAAATTAAAAATATATCGTATTTAAACGTTTTTATATTTTATTAAGATTTAGGACAGGTTTTTTACATAAAAGTTTAGAAAAAACGTCTTAGAGTCCGAAAAGGATAAACATAATAAAATACACGTTATAGAAGAAATTTTATAATCGAAATTACGTAATTTTTGAAATTAATAATAAATTATTAATTTTAGTCAAACATTTACAACCCCTAATATTAATCAAAACCGGATCTATTCCACAGATATAATAGAATCGGCGACAGGGAGAGAAAAAAAAATGATTGTTGTAATTTTTTTTCTAGTTAAGTGATGTCTTATTATGTAAATTAGAGAAAACATAAATCTGTTCCATTAAAGCAAGGAAGGTGATAGGAAGTGGATAAAATAAAAACTACATTTATTTAACTCGGTACTGTCTTTATTATACCGGGTGCGGCTCAAAAGTGGCTCATCCCCATAATTTTTTTATATTTTCAAATAAAAAAACAAGATTTAGTATGTTAGTATATGAAATAAATTAGGATTGATTGACGCATTCAATTGTTTTTGGTCACTTCCTGTGTCACCGGAAATGACTATAACTTTTAATTTTTAAACGGCACCCTCGGTATATTTCTACTTTATTCGATAGAAAATGACACTCTGAATAGAATGAAATATCATATGTCAACTTTTGACATTTTCGCATATGGTTTAATTGTAATTGTAACACGCGGTTCATAACGACAATTTGACTCGAAATACCAAGTGTGTGGTATCAATATATTCATAAAAAAATGCTTTTTCCAAATATGCTAATGAGTCACCCTTGTTCCATTTGAAAAATTGACATATGTATGATTAAAAATACGATTTGTACATCTTTTAACCGGGCCTAGACAAGAACACGAAACCTATTAGACGATCAAAACTACTGGTATTTTCCAAGGCTCCTTGATTAAAACTTAGTGTTTTTAACAATACCATGGGCACCCTGGATTGAAATTTAAAATAGGATTTGGATTTTTAAGCGACAATGTCAAAAGTTGACATATGATATGTCATTCTATTCAGAGTGTCATTTTTATCGAATAAAAATAATATACCGAGGGTGCCTTTCAAAATCAAAGATGTAATCATTTCGGCGACAGGAAGAGACCAATAACAATTGAATACGTCAATAAATCTAATTTATATCATATATACCTACTAACATACAAATCTGTTTTTTTATCTAAAAAGAAAAAGTTATAGGGGTGAGCCACTTTTTGAGACGACCCGGTATATTAAAAAATATTGTTTCATAATGTAATATCATTTTAAAATTCTTGTATGTTATTTTTAGATTCTGAAGATAATTTTAGAATAAACCGAATATATTTAAAAAAAAACATTGTCAATTTATTAATAGGGTTATAATTATGATTTTCTTACAATGTAAGTAAGTAAATAATGTAATGTAAGAGAAAAATCAGATTTACATTTTACTAAAATATTATCTATAAGCGCCTTTCTACAACAACGCCACTGACTCCCCAATGGGTAAATTGAGAGTTGCCTACAGGTCAAAAGTCGTTTCAAGACTTAAATGGATTATTTAAGTCAAATTTCTTACAAATTTGGCACTGGTGAACCATATTTTATAGTTCTTGAACAGAAAAAGTGCCAATAAAATAAACACTTAAGTACTACAAGCTAAGAAAATGCGTTAATACAGCGTCGGGGAGATAGCGGCAACAAAGAATGCACATAACACGTGCGACACTTACTACAAGGTAATAAATGAATGAATAGGCTCCCTCGCCTCTAATCCCGTGTTGTCATATTGTAAGGAACTTATCCTTTTTAAGCAGTATCCGACTTATAATTTAATAGTATAAGGACTATTTAATACATCTCTGGAATATTAAAACCTACTTTATTAAACTGTAGTATTAATATCTCAATATATGTATATAACAAGAAAAAAAATTGATAATATTAAAGACGTGACAACATAGGCTGGATGAGGAAGGCTCGGTCGACTGTACTCAGAAGTAAACATGTGTACAAAAAAGATTGTTTGTCCGCGTTAAGATGTAAATAGTGTAATCTATATTTTATTTTAAGTCTATGTAAGCAACACACTATTCAGCCTTCGTACACGTCAACGTAGAATTTCCGTTTATATTCTGATAGTGAAGTAATAAATATTTGTTTTTTTTAATCACCAGAATTTGTTAATACTTTACGATCAGAATATAAACGAAAATAAAATAAAAAAGCCTGCCCTGACCCGGATTCGACCTCTGAATCCTCGGTTCGTCGTCGGAAACTCTACGCACTGCGCTATGGAGACATGTTCGAATTATATTCAATACTAGAATTTAAAGGACTAATAAAAATATAGGATGTTCTTTCAATGCGCAGTAGGGAACGCAACGATTACCGGCAGCCAGACGGGCCGCATGCTGTTCTAGAGAGCATAGTAAAATATATATCAAAGAGCCAGACGTTTTAAAATACTTGTTTTTCCGACGTTGCTAGCTCTCATACTAGCTGATATGTTGAGGATTTGGCAATACGTAAACATCAGATTTCTCTAACGGACTTCAAAATTTATGAACGCAGATTTCTTCATACAAAACAAAATTTAATTAAATGAAAATTAAAGGTTAGAATGATATACAGGATGGTCCGAACTGAATTCCAGAAACTTCGGCAGCATGTTCTGCTGATAAAAATAAGTAAAAAAGTTCGTATACATGTATGTCCTAAAATGCTTAGTTTCGGAGATACAGGGTGTACAAATTTCAATTTTTTCAATTAATTTCTGAAGTAACGTCTATATTTGGATGTAAATTCGTGTCTGGGAGTTTTTTGACATGAGAAATTTGATTTTGATGTCAAAATGACTCCTATTTGTAGGGGACGCCACCTACATGTGTTTTAACTCTTTTGACGGGTAATAACTTTTTGTTCGTACCTGTCTGAAAGTAGTGAGTAAAAAAATATACATTTACGACATTTTTTACGTAAAAAAGGTCTCTTGGTAAAAATAGCTACGAACAATCGTTCTTAAGATATTTAGAATGGAAATAGTCAATACATGTCATTATTGACTAAAAAAAACGTAGTTATTTGATTGAAATGATAAATTTGGGAACTTTTCAAGTTTTTAAATTAATCATAAATTTTTCTTTGAAAAAATGATGATAAAATGGTTTCTACTGAACATTTGGCACAAAAACATTTCAAATTTATGATTTTAGTCTAATAACTATTCAGTCACCAAGTTTAATTTATGTCAGTGATGACCATTACTCGATGGCGATTTTTACCAAGAGACGTTTATTACGTAAAAAAACGTCGTAAATGTATATTTTTTTACTCACTAGTTTTATACAGGTACAGACGAAAAGTTACTACTTTTCAAACTAGTTAAAACATATGTAGGTGGCGCCTACTACAAGTACAGGAATCATAGTGACATCACAATCAAATTTCTCATGTCAAAAAACTCCTGGACACCAATTTTCATCTAAATACTGACGTTTTCAGAAATTATTTGAAAAAAAATACGAAATAAAAATGAAACTTCTACACCCTGTATCTCCGAAACCAAGCATTTTAAGACATAATTTATACGAATTTCTTTACTTATTTTTATCTCCAGAATATGTCTCCGAAATCCGGAATACAGTTCGGAACACCCTGTAGATTCGATAGAACTGGAACCTGGACGTAGGTCCATGGAGGGACCGGATCTACCCATCGCCTTACCACTACCAATCAGATCAGATAAATTCACTACTGAACTGTGTTATAGAAAATAGTTCTTTTTAAAAATATTTAAAATCTAAAAACGACCACCTAAAATTTATTTTTAATTCTCTCTCATCACCCAATAAAACTGAACCGTAAACAAACATACGTTGATTAAAAACTGAATTAATTGAACAATGTAAAAACAGATTTTGGCCAAACAACCGCCTACTCTAATCACTTCGAACTCCAGTTTTACCCGAACCGTAACATATCCACATTTTTCAACTTTTTCTCCTCTTTTGTTTGCAGATTCGGCGCCGGATTCTGTTTCACCGTCGTCTACGCAGCGCTGCTAACGAAAACCAATCGGATCTCTCGGATTTTTAAAGCGGGAAAACATTCGGCCAAAAGGCCCAACTTCATATCCCCGCGATCGCAGCTTATCATTTGTACGGGCTTGGTGGGAGTACAGGTAATTTGGTTTGTTTGTTTCTATATCATTTCTTTCTTCTATATATATATATATATATTTTTATTTTTGATACACTTTTTTTGTCCCACAATTTATCAAATATGTCTAAGAAGTAAACTAAAACCGTAGCGGCTGCACAGCCTTGTTAAGAGTCTATTACCACAGATTATACAGATTATAAACTTTCGATTATTATAAAAAATATGAAAGACTGAAATTTGAAAAGTTTTTTTTGCAAAAAACGCATAAATTGAATTAATGAAAAAATCTTATCTTATTAATGAAGAAAATGCTGAAAATGTTGCCCGTCAACCTCCATACAGTAATACAAATTATTTTCAACCAGTTCTAGAACATTCTGAAGAACTTGCGGGGTCACTTCGCAACAAACATCAATAATTCGTCTTCGCAGGTCTTCTAATGAGGCGGGTGGAGTGCTATACACTTTACTTTTTATGTTTCCCCATAGAAAAAAGTTTAAAGGAGTCAAATCGGGTGACCAGGGAGGCCACTCAATTGCACCCCTTCGTCCTATCCACCGAACGGGAAAGTTATTGTTTAAATAATTACGCACATTTTGAGAGTAATGTGGAGGTGCACCGTCTTGTTGAAATACTAGTTCTGCTTCAACATATCCAGGATTGTTCTCTATGATGTCAGTTAGGGCTGGGTCGATGATGGTATTGTCAAGGTGTATTACTGGTTGCATAACTGCATACTGCTAAAAAATCGCAATGTGCCTTGAGGAACCTGGCGCATTCGTCAGAAAGTAAAGAAAATTATAGAATTCTTTAGAAAAATCTAGAAACAACCGCCAGGGGGTATATAAGGCCCGCGCTTTGACAGTTGGAAGTTTGAAGTTTAAAGTTTTGGAAGTTTGAAGTCAAGTCTGAAGATAGTGTGAAGTTTGAAAATACCGCGAAATACCGTTAGAGTAATAGTAGTTGCATAAGTTGTGTTGTAAATAGTATAAGTTGTGTGTACAGAGTGAAACAAATAAATTCGTTAAGTATTTTATCGTGAGTTTAAATAGTGGACCCACGGAATCCGTAACAGTATTTTCCAGTAAATCCAAGTACATATCACCTGTTAGATTTCCAGGAAGGAAAAAAGCACTCACAATAGAATTTCTAAAAATACCAATCCACACGTTCAATTTCTTAGAGTTTTGTGTGTGCACCTCGAGAAAAACCCTGGGGTTGTCCTCAGCCCAGTACCGACAGTTGTGCCGATTAACTACACCTTTCAAAAAGAAAGTACACTCTACCTAACCCGATCGGTTCATCCTTGTGGCAGAAGTGAAAAATGCTTAAACATCTAGAAATATAAGAAAAAACAGCAAATTGGTCGAAGGAATTTATCCTTATCATTTACCCTGATAAATGTTTAAATAAACTTTTCAAATTTCAATCCTTCATATTTTCTCAATGGCTCGACCGATTTTCAAAAACAAAGCGGGAAAGTATAGAGAATAGAAAGCCCTTTCCAATGCGGTACCACTTAACCCCTCTTCCCATTTGAACAAAATTGGGGGATGACACCCCCGCTTAGAGGGTTGAAGATTTTGCAATCATTTTTGGGGCAAAAATTGTCCCCCTCACGAACAAAATTGACGTGTTTTTGAATTTTCTGAAAAAAATTACCCTGGCCGTTATGCCTTGCGGAACTTTTTCGATGAGCCACCCTGTATATTATGATCTGTTTCTAAACTCTGTACTGTAATGAGCTTCATTAATCCTACAAGATTTATTAATCCTCGCATGGTTACAGACAGTATCAAAACACGATTTATCAACATTTAAATTCTCCAAATATACCGTGCATGACAGCAATCCTTTTTTCAAAATATCACACAGACCACATATATGCAAATCTAATACCTCCACATATATTACCATTAAACTCGGTATTAATCTTACCTACAGCTCTACTACTAGAACATTAACAAATCCTGACACATTGGCAAAAATGACCATTTTCTGGTTTTAGGTACTCATCAACGCCGTATGGATGATCATATCTCCGCCTAGAGCCATACATCACTATCCGACAAGGGAGGACAATTTGCTGGTGTGTTCGTCATACATCGATGCTTCGTACATGATAGCCTTTACTTATCCGATATTTTTGATAGTTGTATGTACAGTGTATGCCGTGTTGACTAGAAAAATACCGGAAGCTTTTAACGAATCAAAGCATATCGGTAAGTAATCGTAGTCTGGGTAAAATCATTCCTTTAATTTATTATTTCATTGCCTTTTGAACTCATAACTAAAAATTAAAATCACATTGTTTTGGACTAAAATTTACAAAAATAACGTATATCATGTATCTGCTTTTCGATATTAACTACAATGCAAACGGCAGCTTTTCGTCTTTGCGAGCAGTCGTAGGTTCGTTTTTTTTATTAGGTGTTATAATTAATCAATAAAACAATAATTATTGGGCGCCAGGACATTCACTCAGAAATAATAGATCTCTTTACCTCAACTTAAATTTATTTATAATTAAAAGAATATTAGACAAGGACAGTAATTGATGAATGAAGTTAGGTTTTTAAAATGAATTAATACTTAAGAATAATAAGTAATCAAAATTTAAATGTATGACATAAAAAAATAGTATCACTTGTTCTGTTGATTAAAAATCATTGACATATTAATATTAAATTACGCAAAATAAAGTTAAATAAGTACCTCAAACTAACGCAGTTCATGAACCTTGTTGTATGCGCACATAATTCCGTAAATCAATTAAAAGTTAATTAAATAAATATGTCAAGTAACACCATCACAAAATACTTGACAAGATATTAATATATATAAAAAAATTTGTATATTTAAAATTAAGAAAGTTATATTTTATAATGAAATTCAAAAATATCTAATAATTACATAATTAATTACGCAATTCGTCAACAGTAAGTAAATAGATTTGAAATGAGTTAATAAAAAAAAATGAAATCTGGCCTGATTATCCGGTGCAATTCCAGGCTTTGGCTCGTCCTTCTGGATGGTGTATGGACGTTAGGTGTGGGAGCTCATCCCCAATCTACCACAGCCTCGAACAGCCCCTTACAATACCACCAGCCATGTGGAAATCAAACATGGATCATAGATACAGGCTCTCGTACCTCAAACCACCAATCACGACATATAACTCGCCATGTAACTGGACGGTAAAACCCTGGAAACGATACAACTTATGCACAAAATGCATTTTAGAAATTTTAGAACTTACCTCACGATGCTGAGGGTTTACTCAAAAATTAAACTCGTGACAAGACAACCAAAACCACGTTTAGAAAATCTGTAAAGAAATAAGCTTGAACCAAAAGAATAAAAATGTGATGAAGATCAAACTTACCACCAAAAATACCCATGAAAATTCTGCGCCGACAAGGGCTAGTACGATCAACAGAGTATCCGAAATTAGTCAGAACTAATTGGGTAGGGTGTATGTTGGGTTGCCAATAGTATCGTTTTATTAAAACGTTACACTAAGGGCTGGCAAAGGTTAGTCTTGGGTCGAGATTTCCGTACGTAAGAAGAGTATAATGCGTTTATAATGTACTGAACAAAGAGAGAACAGTAAACACGTTGCCAAACGTATGAAATAAACCGAAAGACTCTGCACATTGCTAAGAGACGTGGAAGGGGATGTAGCAGATTTGTCGCAGTTGTCCAGTCGACCCAATCAGTACCTCTGTCAGTACTTAAAGTTCCAGGGAAAGGTGTACATCATGCGTTCAGCTTCACGATTTAATTACGTCTCGTGATAATTTATTTGTTTATTTATTAACGAGTCGTTGTAATTTTCCCTATAGCTTGAAAATTTTTAAGTGCAAGCTAGAAACACTTGCATTTTTAGTAAAAATAAGTGAAATTGAGTTGGTGTTTGACAGTGGTCGCGCTATTAGAACTCTGAATTCAAAAGTTGATATCTCAAAATCTATTAGAAATAATTGATTGTATTTTTTCAAAAACTTTCTCAATATTTCTGCTGTATTTTCTTCGTAGAACACACATAGTATGTGAAAATCTTTATCAATAAAAAAATTACACGATTGCTGAAAATTGCTATGCTCTAAAAGTAAATGGATGGGTTTAAAATTTTTGAATATTTTTGTGTAAACATATTGTAAAAGATCCGATCTTCAAAATAATTAAAGTTTCAATATCTAAAGTGTTTCTTGAGTTATGTGTTAAAAAGTTGAGTTTTTAAATTATCGCGATTACTGACGTTTATTTATCGCGATTACTGACGTTTATTACTGACGATTATATCGTTATAAAAAATGACACCCTAACGATATCCTTATAATTCCATTTCAGATGCTCAGAAACATGTCTAATGATTTTATCTAGTTATCTTCTCGAAAAAAAAGTCTTTTAAAAATAAGCGGTTTGCGATCGTGATTTTACTTTACCTGATAGGGAAAGGCGTACCGGCAACACCGCAACAACACACCGTCGCATTTCTCTCACTCCGACTTTATAAGATCCCTATGCGATTTACTTTCATACATGTAAATACCGACCAAAATGTAACAGTTGCCAGCACGGTATTACTAAACTATATTAAACACAAATAATTTAAAGTGAATATACAGGGTTGTTCACCACATACGGAGTATTGTAGCTAAACGATGAGATTTTTACAAATTGTAAGTTTTGAGTTCGATGAAGGACTATTAGAGGTACAATTTAAAAATAATTTTACAAGATACAGAGTGTCCCAAATAAGTAAAAAATATCAAAGTTGTATTTTTTTTAAATGGAACACTCTGTACATTATTACATTTTTAGTTTCTACTATTAAAATAATGGTAAATTTGATTAAAGTTTATTATACTTAAACCTTACCGTTTTTGAAATATTTTCAATTTTGTGAAATTGCAGTAAAAATTTTAAGGCTTCATTTCTCCAAGGGTATCAAAGCTTTTAATACTAAATATTTACTGAAGTTTATTTATTGATCAGTTATTGTGATAATAAAAATAATACTACCTTATACAGAGTGTCTAAAAATTTATTTTAAATAATTATTAGCTTCAAACGGCAATAACTTGTTTAATTTAAATGGAACACCCTGTATATTTTACGAGAATCAGATGCACAATTTAATTGTCTATCAAATTATATTATACCATTTTTTACCTATCTCTTTAAGTTTCCGTAGAAAATGAATTTTCTTGTAATTTAGAACTTATTTATACCCATGGAATATTGACATTTTAGATTATTTTTAAAGATTTTTAAAGAGTACAGATACTAATATTGTCGATATAATTCGTTTATTTCATTAAAAAATAAAAAAAAAATTGTTTAAATATTTGTTAAAGAGGACCAATTAATATGATTCCAGTATTCAAACTACATTAACTGACTGTTTGCGTTGATTAATAATAATTGCTCCAAATACTAAACAACTGAATTTTGTATGGGTATTAGACAGTGTGATAAAAAGTAACACCTTAAAAATGATATTTCATTTTTTAATAAATGCTTATTTATAACAGAGACTTTAATTTTGATAACTTATTATTATATTGATTTCTGACTCAAATCCACATTTATTTATAATAATTTATTAACGAACACAATTAAGTATGTTTAATTAGTATATATGAGGCGGAAATAATGGTGTTATATTTAATTAATGGTATACTCTTTAATAAAGATTTAAATAGTTTTCTTTTTTGCATACAAATGGGCTAGTAATATTATCATTTTGCTAAAAACGATAATATTACTAACCTATTTACATTGTTACATTTGTTGCTTTAAAACAACCTAGAATGTCAATATTCCATGAATATATTGATAAAGGAGGTCTAAATTATAAGAAAATGCATTTTCTACGAAAACTTGAAGGGATAGGTAAAAAACGGTATAATACAATTTGATAGACAATTAAATTGTGCATCTGATTCTCCTAAAATATACAGGGCGTTCTATTTAAATTAAAGAAGTTATTGCCGTTTGAAGCTAATAATTATTTAAAATAAATTTTGAGACACTCTGTATAAGGTAGTTTTATTTTTATTATTTCAACACAATAACTGATCAATAAATAAACTTCAGTAAATATTTAGTATTAAAACATTGATACCCTTGGAAAATGAAACCTTAAAAGTTTTACTGCAATTTCACAAGTGAAAATATTTTCAAAAACGGTAATGTTAAGTATAATAAACCTTAATCAAATTAACCTCTATTTAATCGTAGAAACTAAAATCTAATAATATACACGGTGTTCCATTTAAAAAAATACAACTTTGATATTTTTTACTTATTTGGGACACTCTGTATCTTGTAAAATTATTTTTAAATTGTACCCCTAATAGTCCTTCATCGAACCCATATCTTGAAATTTGTAAAAATATAATCGTTTAGCTACAATACTCCGTGTCGTATGTGGTGAACAACCCTGTATAGATCAAGGTTTTCCTATATTGCTTATTTTTTTAGGATTTACAATGTATACCACCTGCGTTATATGGTTAGCATTTGTTCCTTTGTATTTTGGAACAGCCAACCATGTGGCCCTAAGGATCACCAGCATGTCAGTGACTATCAGTCTATCAGCCACAGTTACTCTGGCATGTCTGTTTTCACCAAAGGTAAGATAAAATTATAGAATTCTTCAGTTGAAAACAAAATCCTATGAGATAAAAAGATGCGATTGCTTGATTGATTGCATCATATTACACAAAATCTTATAAAAAGGCAGTGTCTGTTTTAATGAACTAATTTTAAACTACTTAAGCATAGTTTTTAGCTTACACCATTTCAATGACACCCTGTATAATAGATAAATACTATTTATCTACTGCTAATTATAAAATAGTAATCCTTATATGATCTAACCAAGTATTTTTGCAGCTTTATGCATCATAAGGAGTTACATTAAAGAAATGTGAAGACAAAAGTATGATGCCCATGAGGGTACAGTACCATCAACAAAAGCACTTCGTGACCACAGGATCCAGACAGAGATAAAATTTCGAAAAAAAATCCTCTGTCATAAATTTTGACCATAAATCAAATGGTGATACTGAAAAATTATTTGGAAAAGCGGAAAGGGTAGTTTTTGCAAGGGTAGGGGGTTGTTTAGTGAATAACTTTTCTGAGGTTATTTTTTTGCAACGTGGGTTCATTTTTTGAAAACTACATACTTTTTCCTACAAAAAAGGTACTCTTGTTGCACATCGCCCAGAGCGATGGTTTTCGAGAAAATTGAAGGAGGTTGCTTTCAACCCTCCTCTGATGGGTTGCTAACTGGTTAATCAACATAAACTTATGAAAGTTATGGCGGTTCAAAAGTAACCAAGTAGTTATTAAATAATTAATTGGAAAATCAAAATTTCATGATTTTTAAAACATCTTATTGCTTTAAAAACGAAATAAACCAATTACCATAATTCCTTATTAAAATAATGCATTCCTTAATTCATTCATAGTAAATGTTTAAAGTGACCACCATTCATTTCAATGCAGACATCTGCTCTTCTTCTCCAAGATACCCTGTGGAATATCCTTGGTGTTGTCCGAATTTGACTGGAACAGTCAATAATGCGTTGCCGTAGTCGCTCTTCAGTATTAATCGACACTGAGTAAATCAAAGCTTTCAAGTGGCTCTAGAAGTAGAAATCTAGTGAATTATTTCGTTTTTTAACGCAATAAGATGTTTTAAATATCATGAAATTTTGATTTTTCGATTAATTATTTGATAACTACTTGGTTACTTTTGAACCGCCATAACTTTCATAAGTTTATGTTGATTAACCAGTTAGCAACCCATCAGAGGAGGGTTGAAAGCAATCTCCTTCAATTTTCTCGAAAACCATCGCTCTGGGCGATGTGCAACAAGAGTACCTTTTTTGTAGGAAAAAGTATGTAGTTTTCAAAAAAAGGAACCCACGTTGCAAAAGAATAACCTCAGAAAAGTTATTCACAAAACAACCCTCTACCCTTGCAAAAACTACCCTTTCCGCTTTTCCAAATAATTTTTCAGTATCGCCATTTGAATTAGGGTCAAAATCTATGGCAGAGGATTTTTTTTTCGAAATTTTATCTCGTTTTTTAAGCCTACAATTTTAAAACAACCGTTTTTTAAATTCAGCCTTTCAATGCCCCCTAACTCCCTTAATATGAATTTTCCGCCCTATACTTATAGGAACTTTTTTTACTATTTTTAGGAGTACTATCACCCCCTAATTTTTTTTACACCATTTCAATGACACCCTGTATAATAGATAAATACTATTTATCTACTGCTAATTATAAAATAGTAATCCTTATATGATCTAACCAGGTATTTTTTGTAGCTTTATATCATACTCATACGACCAGAAAGAAATGTAAGACAAAGTATGATGCCCATGAGGTACAGTACCATCAACAAAAGCGCCGTGACCACAGGATCCGGCAGTATGATGGCAGCTGTTGCAGTGACAGCTGCCACTTGTGACCAAAACCAAAAAATACAGAAGGCCATCACACCGATAGATAATGGTAAAATTCGTGTAAAATTTCCTATGCTTTGCTATGTTTATTTGCTTGCTGTGTTTATGCTTTGTTATTTTATAATATTTCTTGTATATTATGAATTTTTGCATTTTGAATTTATCTCTCCAAAAAAGTCCTATATGGGTATTTCGCCACTGCAAGAAAATCTACAAAATAAAATAGTTATTTTTTGTAAACAAACTTAATTAACTTAGATCCATTTTAACACACACTAAACTAATGAATACTGAACCACAAACAAAAAATGTAATATACAAAATACCATGCGAATGCGATAAATTTTATATTGGTGAAACATCTACGAGTAGACCCTTATAGAACATAAATATTATTAAGGAAAGGGAGATTTTCACAAATCTAAGATTTGTCAGCATTGATGGGACACAGGGCACAGAATAAATTTTAATAACGCCAAAATTATAATGAAAGAAGGGATAGCCTCTAAAAGAATAATAAAAGAGGCTTTTTAAAAAAATCTAATAAAAATAAATGTATTGCTCACGCATCTGTAGATGTTAGTAATGTATGGCAATCGCTTCTTTGATTTTAAAGAACATAACATAAATAAACATAACATACGTAAAAATTAAAAATAATCATAGAGAAAATTTAAAGCTCTTTGGTTTTACTTTATTAAGTAATTGTTATCAGGTAATAATTGTTAATTTTCAAGTTTAACTTGATATAATGTCATTTTAACAGAACGTCAACGGTTTTTGTAGACGTATCTGTTTAAAAAAAACTAGAGTTCTCGAATAGTTGCATTTAAATATTTTAAATAATTTTTTTTTCTTTGTTCTTTGTATTTTTCTTGCTTCCAACGACGGAAAGAGATAAACTTTCCGAAACGTTAAGAATTTTTTTGTCCGTTAGGCAAATTTGTTTATTGGTAGACCACTGCTGACAATTAGTCTCCGTTGGATTAACGCCAGCAGTGTTTACAAAAAATAACTATTTTACACACACCGGAAAAATCTAGGGATATCATTTTATTAAAGTTAAAAATAAATGTTTTGAATAAACAACCACATATTTGTAGGCCGATTCTTTCTACTTCGATTGAAACGAAGTAGTCACACAAGTTATTTCTAAATTGGGGATATTTGCAGAAGTGTTTATGCATTTTTTGTCAAATGTATAAAAAGCACCTAGCATCAATTGTTCGAATTTAACCTGTACTGGCTATGTTTTTATGATAACTGGCCAGAATTCATTCAAATAACTCTGTTTAGTATTAAACGACATTATGGAGCGTAGACATCTTAACAGAGATGAAATGCTAAGGGCCATGGGTATGCTCGAAGCTCGAATGCGCCAAATCGACGTAGCTAGAGCATTAAATACAACGCAAAGTGTAATACCGCGATTAAGTGCACGCTACCGTGAAAGTGGTGATGTTGCTGAAAGGCACACAGGGCGACATCGCATTACTACACCTCAGCAAGATCATTTTTTACAATTAAATGCTCGACGCCGACCGACTCTTACAGCACCAGAGCTTAGTTTAATTCTCCAGGAAACACATAATGTAACCGTTAGTCCTGACACTGTTCGCAATAGATTAAGAGAGGTCAACTTAAGAAGCAGACGCCCCCGGAGAGCACAACCCGTAACGAGAGGAAATCGAGAGGTACGATATTTGTGGGCTCAAGATCATGTTCAGTGGTCGAATGAACAATGGGCCAATGTTCTCTTAACGGATGAGTCACGCTTTGGAATTCATCCGGACTCGAGAAGGCTGAGGGTATGGAGAGAACCGGGAAATCTTATTCGATTGGATCATGTTCAGGAAGTGTACCGTTATCAAGGTAGAACAGTTATGGTCTGGGGAGGAGTCCAGTTAGGCCGAAAAACCGATCTCGTTTTTCTTGAAAGGTTTCTAACAGGAATCACATATCGTGATTTAATTCATGAGCCTGTCGTGTTACCATATGCCAATGATTTTGTGAGAAACTTCATTCTCATGCATGAGAATGCACGGCATGAGAATGCACGGCCTCGTACAGCCAGAGTGGTAAGTGAGTTTATCAATGCTCATCAATTAAACATCTTACCCTGGCCGGCACAATATCCTGACCTCAACCCCATCGAGCACGTATGGGACGCGGTCCAAAGAAGAATTTTGAGAATGGGTATGCCTCGTGAAACTCGTATCTGGTTTGGGTCGTGAATGCAGCGTGGCAGGCTGTACCTCAAGAAGAGATCGATAACCTGATCAGAAGCATGGAGAGACGATGTAGGGCTGTAATGAACAGTAGAGGAGGCCATACCCTTTATTAAGTAAAAATGGTTTTATCTTTTTTTTTAATTCACAGTTTAGAAAAAAGAATGTGTGTATTTTTTTGAGTTCAATAAAAATCAAGGTAAATTTGAAAAATTCGGTAAATTTCGCATTTTTATTTCCAATACGTCCTGTAAACTATTTGTTTATTTTAATTTTATTATATCAGAAATGCAAATAATAAAATTACTGACGATGGCTGGATAAAATTGTAATATCCCTAGACTTTTCCGGTGTGTATTTTGTAGATTTTCATGCAGTGGCGAAATATCCATATAGGACCTTTTTGGAGAAACTATACCTACTATTTTTTAATTGATTTGTTTTTTATTTCAGTACCACTATTAGAGGTGAGCAAGCCCCAAACCAAGGAGTCGAGTACTCAAACTACTCCGAACTCGAGCAACAGCGCTCTTAATGGTTGTTCGCTCGAAAATTTGAGCAAAGTTAACAATAATTGCAACATTAACGGACCAGTACCGCCTCAGATAAAAGATATGGCTTTATAGCATCAATCGGTAAGCAGATCTTCCAGTTTGAAATCTCGAAGAAACCCAATACAGGTCTAGATAGTAAGATTTTTTAAAATAAGTAATTATAAGGCATTTAAAATGCAGTAAATAGGGTCAAGTTTACCTCAAAATACACAAAACCTGATATTTATATAAAAAAAATGTAGTATCTTACCAATTTTTGACCAAATTAAAAGATGTACAAAACTTATATATAAATTATTTATGGGACTTTATTTGAAAAAGCGGTCACAAAAATGGGAAGAATAAGGATTCAACAAATAACCACAGTAGCGCTAAGGACGCATAAATCTAAAAAATGAAAAATAACCATAGATAAGAGAATAAAAGTAACATAACCAAATATTACCCAAAAAAGCTTTGTTTTTATTTTTTTGGAATATAAAACAATTATTTTTATATATTAGAGGCCCGGTCTATTGCTGCTGAATAAAAATCGATAATTTATTTCATGTGACATGAAAATATTTGTATTTTTTTGAAAACCACGCCTTTAACACGTCAAATATTTATATCTATTGAATCATTTCCCGTTCCAAAAATTTTCGGCGTATATTTTAAATTTTAGGTATTTGCTACAGCAGCGCCATCTTAAGTCTTCCCTTTTTATTGATGATGAGGTTTCATTTACCACTTTTGTGACGCTTAGCGTGACGCTAGATCGTGTCGCGGCCTTGAATGTTTACTCCCATCGCGCGTAAGGAAGTTTCTCTTCAGAAATGCAAAATTCTGCGCATGGAATGTTGCAAAATTATACAAAGGTATATATGTTACACAAGTTATACAGTATGATGGAACAACGACGTCAGAAATTAGTATTTACTAAGTCGACTAGTTTATATATACCGTGCTGGCAACTGTTGCTTTTGGGTCAGCATTTACATGTGTGGAAGTAAACCATAGGGATCTTATTAAGTCGGAGTGAAAGAAAGGCGACGGTGTGCTGTTGCGACGTTGCCGGTACGCCTTTCCCTATCAAGTAAAGTAAATTCACGATCGCAAACCGCTTATTTTTAAAAGACTTTTTTTTCAAGAGATAACTAGATAAAATCATTAGACATGTTTCTGAGCATCTGAAATGGAATTATAAGGATATCGTTAATGTGTCATTTTTTTTTATAACGAGAAAACGTCAGTAATCGCGATAATTTAAAAACTCAACTTTTTGAAAACATAACACGCGATAACTCAAGAACCACTTTAGATATTGAAACATTTTTTTTATTTTCAAGATCGGATATTTTACAATATAGCCAGGAATATTAACAAAGTTCTTGAAAAAAACTACAATCTATTATTTCTAACAGATTTCGAGATATCGATTTTTGAATTCAGAGTTCTAATAGCGCGACCACTATCGAACACCCACTCAATTCCATTTAATTTTACTAAAAATGCGAGTGTTTCTAGCTTGCACTTAAAAAAATTCAAGCTATAGGGAAAATTACAACGACCCGTTAATAAATAAACAAATTAAGTATCACAAGACGTAGACAAGAAGTAATTAAATCGTGAAGCTGAACGCATGACGTACACCTTTCTCTAGAACTTTAAGTACTGACAGAGGTATTGATTGGGTCGACCGATCAACTGCGACAAATCTGCTATATCCCCTTCCACGTCTCTTAGTGATGTGCACAGTTTCTCGGTTTATTTCATAAGTTTGGCAACGTGTTTACTGTCCTCTCTTTGTTCAGTTCATTATAAACGCATTGTACTCTTCGTACATATGGAAATCTCGACCCAAGACTAACCTTTACCAGCCCTTAAATTTTAAATGCCCACCAAGATTTTATCTCAATTCAGAATTAGGAATAGTCAGAGTTAAGCTGGTACCCTTTTTACTGCGTTTTTTATTTTACCACATGAAAATTGATAAAACTGTTATTAATATTTCCAGTAATGTACAAAGATATTTTATAACAATTATAAATTAGATTTGATTTTTATCAGATCCTATTTATAATATATCTATATTTATGAAACCTATTTAAAAAAGTTGTAGTGTAAAAAATTATTGATGTAAATTAGAAACTAGACCTCTATACTCATTATACTGTTTATAACAAAACAAAACTAATTGCTATTTGCTTTAATTTTGTAATAATTCTTACAGGGTAAAATTTTAATATAGGTATATACTTAGATAGATATTAAACTTTTTTATTGTAAAATATTATTAGTGGATTTGTTCCAACATCAACCAGTTATAATTTGGTTCATATGTTCATAGTGTCTCTTTTTTATACACAATGTTACTATTTTGGAACGAGTTTTGTAAAGAGTACTTAATTATGCTGTGATTTTTGTTTGAATTGCTGCACATATAAATTGTTCCTATGTGTGCATATCAGATATAATATGGAAATGAATGAAGTGAAATTTGTACTGTCATACATCTGAGTATTTTTTTACAAAGTAGAATTTTATATTTTGAATAAATAACTTAATATTTGTAATCCTATAATACCTATTCTCAAGACAGCTATAACATCTTTGTAAGTTAACGTCTGTAACCAAGTACTCTCTTATTCTTGTACTATATTATAACTAAAAAGATTATTAAACCAAAAATGTGTGTTTTTCTAATGAATAATATACGCTCTGTTTCAAAAATCCACTTAGTAGAAAAACTAATGTTTTTCCACGCAGTTCTTATAAAGTTTTTAATGTTGAATGCTTTTCTTAATAATTATACCGTGCTGGCAACTGTTACTTTTGGGTCGGTACTTACATATGTGGAAGTAAATCGCATAGGGATCTTATTAAGTCGCAGTGAGAGAAATGCGACGGTGTGCTGTTGCGGCGTTGCCGGTACGCTTTTCCCTGTCAAGTAAAGTAAAATCACGATCGCAAACCGCTTATTTTTAAAAGACTTTTTTCGAAAAGATAACTAGATAAAATCATTAGACATGTTTATGAGCATCTGAAATGGATTTATAAGGATATCGTTAGGGTGTCATTTTTTAGAGAGTACAAGAAAACGTCAGTAATCGCGATAAAATAAAAACTCAACTTTTTAACACAACACGCCATAACTAAAGAACCACTTTAGATATTGAAACTTTTTTTTATTTTGAAGATCGGATCTTTTACAATATGTTTACATAAGAAAATTTCGATAAGGTTGTTTTTTTCCATTCAAAAATTGTAAACAACCCATCCATTTACTTTTAGAGCGTAGCAATTTTCAGCAATCGTGTAATTTTTTTATTGATAAAGATTTTCACATACTATCTACGAAGAAAATACGGCAGAAATATTAAACAAGCTTTTGAAAAAACTACGATCAATTATTTCTAATAGATTTCGAGATATCGATTTTTGAATTCAAAGTTCTAATAGCGCGACCACTGTCGAACACCAACTCAATTCCACTTATTTTTACCAAAAATGCAAGTGTTTCTTGCTTGCACTTAACATTTTCTAGCTATAGGAAAAATTACAACGACTCGTTGATAAATAAACAAATAAATTATCACTAGACGTAATTATATCGTGAAGCTGAACGCATGATGTACACCATTCCCTAGAACTTTAAGTACCGACAGAGGTACTGATTGGGTCAGGTCGGTCAAGTTTGCCCCCCGTACTAGAGGAAATTCAAAAAGAGATATACCACTATTTTGCACACATTTTGCACAATTTTGCACACCATAAATGATATTTTGCACGCTTACCTAGGAGAAACTAGAGCCGTTTTTTAAACGGGGGCAAACTTGACCGTTCCCCCCCATTTGTTACGAAATTGATTTATTTCTATGTACATCGATTCGGCTAATTTTGCACAATTTTGCACACCTATTTTTATATTTTGCACACCCTCCTGACGAAAGTTATAAGGGGTTGAAATTTGAAATTCCCCCCCCCCCATCTGTGACTAAATTGAATTTTGTTTATATCAAACGAATGGGCTAATTTTGCACAATTTTGCACACCTGTTTTTGAATTTTGCACATTCTCCTGACTAAAGTTATGCGGGTTTGAAAATTTGCAATTTCCCCCCTATCTGCTACGAAATTGAATTTCGTTTATATCAAACGAATCGGCTAATTTGGCACAATTTTGCACACCTATTTTAGAATTTTGCACACCTTCCTGACGAAAGTTATGAGGTTTTGAAAGTTTGCAATTTCCCCCCCATCTGCTACGAAATTGACTTTTGTTTATATCAAACGAATCGGCTAATTTTGCACAATTTTGCACAGCTACTTTCGAATTTTGCACACTCTCCTGACAAAAGTTATAAGGGTTTGAATATTTGAAATTTGTCCCATTGTGTGTGAATTGTCTCATTTAAAAAACATAAGTATGAGTCATATTTGAAAATGACAGATCTCAGCGACGCGACGTGGAAAACTGTACGGAACCCAGACTTCACCTTTTCGATAAGTTATAGGATAACCGAGATATAAGGGTTGTCGAAAAATGCAAAATTATTAAATTTGCCAGGTATTTCAGGAAGTAAGAGGGCTAGGACAAATATGTGTGTAGAATCTTTAGTTTCATAAATGTTCTTCTATGCAAGCTATAAATTATCGAAAAGGTGAAATCTAAGTGCCGTGCAGCTTTTCACGTCGCTGAGATCTATCATTTTCGAAATATGACTCATACTTATGTATTTTTAAGTGAGACATTTCACACACAATGGGACAAATTTCACATATTCAAACTCTTATAACTTTTGTCAGAAGAGCGTGCAAAGCTCGAAAATAGCTGTGCAAAATTAGCCGATTCGTTTGATATACACAAAATTCAATTTCGTGACAGATGGGGGGGAAATTGCAAATTTTCAAACCTTCATAACTTTAATCAGGATGGTGTGCAAAATTCAAAAACAGGTGTGCAAAATTGTGCAAAATTAGCCGATTCGTTTGATATACACAAAATTCAATTTCGTGACAGATGGGGGGGAAATTGCAGATTTTCAAACCTTCATAACTTTAATCAGGATGGTGTGCAAAATTCAAAAACAGGTGTGCAAAATTGTGCAAAATTAGCCGATTCGTTTGATATACAGAAAATTCAATTTCGTGACAGATGGGGGGGAAATTGCAAATTTTCAAACCTTCATAACTTTAATCAGGATGGTGTGCAAAATTCAAAAACATGTGTGCAAAATTGTACAAAATTAGCCGATTCGTTTGATATAAACAAAATTCAATTTAGTGACAGATGGGGGGGGGGGAATTTCAAATTTTCAACCGCTTATAACTTTCGTCAGAAGGGTGTGCAAAATTCAAAAACAGGTGTGCAAAATTGTGCAAAATTAGCCGATTCGTTTGATGTACACAAAATTCAATTTCGTGACAGATGGGGGGGAAATTGCAGATTTTCAAACCTTCATAACTTTAATCAGGATGGTGTGCAAAATTCAAAAACAGGTGTGCAAAATTGTGCAAAATTAGCCGATTCGTTTGATATAAACAAAATTCAATTTAGTGACAGATGGGGGGAATTTCAAATTTTCAACCGCTTATAACTTTCGTCAGAAGGGTGTGCAAAATTCAAAAACAGGTGTGCAAAATTGTGCAAAATTAGCCGATTCGTTTGATGTACACAAAATTCAATTTCGTGACAGATGGGGGGGAAATTGCAGATTTTCAAACCTTCATAACTTTAATCAGGATGGTGTGCAAAATTCAAAAACAGGTGTGCAAAATTGTGCAAAATTAGCCGATTCGTTTGATATACAAAAAATTCAATTTCGTGACAGATGGGGGGGAAATTGCAAATTTTCAAACCTTCATAACTTTAATCAGGATGGTGTGCAAAATTCAAAAACAGGTGTGCAAAATTGTGCAAAATTAGCCGATGCGTTTGATATAAACAAAATTCAATTTAGTCACAGATGGGGGGGAAATTTCAAATTTTCAACCGCTTATAACTTTCGTCAAAAGGGTGTGCAAAAT